CACCAGAATCGAAAAGGATGCAAGCATAAGAGTTGTCAAGAAGGAACGTACTTGAGACAATGGTGGGATCGGCGACTGCCTCATCTCGTCCCATAGTTAGAACTCTCCCGGTGTTGCCAGTTGTTGCTGCCTTGGGGCAGTTTTACTTGAAATGCCCGAATTCACCACAACCATAGCAGGCCTCACCGACACCCGCTCCGGAAGCTTGATTTGTTGATTGGGTTGCTGCTTTGCAGTTTCGTGCAGTGCGGCCCTTTTGCCACAGCTGTTGCAGAGCATCTCACGGCATGGGATGGAAGTGAGATGATGATATGTAACGCCCAGGTTTCAGGGCTGAGCACTTTTGTCAATATAATAGTCTAGGTCAACTCTTGTAACTCTTTTTGAAGTAATAAAGATGAAATATTGAGTATTATGTGAATTATGTGTTTATTATTTAATTATAAATGTATAATTAATAAAGAATAAAAATGAGCGTCAAAATTAAAGTGTGATATAATCCCTATATCTCTACATAAAGTTGTAGAATATGTCTCAAGGTTTCTGTACATATAAAGAATGCCGAAATCTGAGTTATAACGAAGAAGTTATGGCCCGCCGAAGTTTTACGGCAAAACCGGCACGGCACCGGGAGATGTAAATAGTGAATTTACGATAGAAGACTATTTAGCCTTAGCGATCTAAACGAAAGTCGTAGAATATGTTAAACCGAGAAAATCCATAAAAAGAACGCCCAAATCTGACTTCGTATGAAGAAGTTATGATTTTTCTAAGATTCGGCTTAGCAGTGCATGACCCGAAACTCGAATTTTAGTTCGAGCGGTTTTTGGCTTACACGACCTAAATGAGAGTTGAATATCTCATTAATATGAACTCAAAGGTAAAAAGACAGACGAAAACGGAGTCCGTATGAAGGAGTTATGAATTCTTCGCGGTCATTTAACAGTCTAAACGCCTCCTACTGTTAAATTTGAGATCGATCGAGAATTAGCTGACGGAGTCTAAACGAAAGTTGTAGATCTTGATTTTACCTACGCGTGGATATAAAAAACGTCGAAAACAGAGCTCTTATGCGAAAGTTATGATTTTTCTAATTTTGAAGGCTGATACGCGATAGGGGGTAACGTGGCACCACCAGAATTGGACACGTGGCACCACCAGAAGGTTGCCACATGCACCAACTCGGTGAGTCATGACTCAGACTCGGCGAGTCCATCAGATTTTTCCACTATAAATAGAGGTGTCGGGTCTAGCCTCTTCCTCACACCTTCAAACCCTTCTTTCTCTCTTTAAACTCTCTCTCTAAGCTCCCTAACCCCCCTAAAAGCCTAGGTAAACCCCCTAGCACCCGAAGGAAGCCCCAAGGCTCCCGGAGTCTGGAGAAAAGAGTCTTTTGGCTCGGGAACGCTGCTCCAGCGAAGCCCGGTTTTCGAGAAAAACCCGCTGTAAGTGAGTTGTACCTATCCTATCTTTAGTTTAGCTTATGTTTTAATATAGGAATGTTATTAGGTCCTTAAAATAATTATTTGGGCTATTATTATGAGTTATATTGAGTGTTATTAATGCTTATATAATAATAATAATAATAATAGTAAGACAATTAATTTGTCGCGGTTATCATTAGACTAAACCCTAGTGGTATCGATACTAGGTTTTATCGAAGGAAAATCGTTGTGAGAGTATCGAAGCGCTGTCCGAGTGCTGAGTCACCACCTTTCAGGTCAGTGCATAGTTACTTTCAGCTTACACATAGATATGAAGTATTTTATATAAATTATGTGCTATGTGTGCATATTATCTGAATACTTGCTATCTATGTTGGATGAACGTTTTATACATGTTTTCAATGATTTAAACTGTATATGTATTTTATATCTACAAAATGTGTTGGGTAAAACATGGGTAGATGTAATAGTTGTTGTGTGACAAAATAAAATAATGAGAGGCCTCGTTATAGATGTTATTGATGATCCAGTCATCTAGCGGAGTATAGATGACGACCACGGACTATTCTAGACAGTCAAGTGGAACACTAGCAGGCTCGCAACCTGTAGGTGTTTATTCGAATTGTGTATTTATTTGAACTGTGTGCTCACCAGATGTACTCCATCCCCTTACATGGTTGCCTTAAGGACATTTGTTGCTAAGGAATCCCCTTAGCAGTAGTGTCCATCCCGATGATAATCCTTAGGATGGGTCCCTTATGATAGATGCTTAGGGACGTAATGTGAGGATAACGGGAACGGGTAATCGGGATTGTTTAATTTTAATGAAGTTAATAAACGTATTTATTGTGGGTTGAAAACCCTATGTGCTCACCAGGCTCCCAAGCTTGACCCACTCAGTTTTATGTATTACAGGTAGTGGAGCTTGAGCATAGATATGATGTTTGGACGAGGGATTACGGATATAGGCCTGTAGATATGAAATAATGTAGTAAGGCTTATATTGTACTGTTTATGCTTTTGATCTGTACGAACATGACATACCGAGTCTTTTAATGAAATACATTTCTATGGAAATGCTTTTGATAAATCTTTATCATATTTTGTTTTGGGACAAATTCCGCAACACTTTTATTTAAAATGTTACTATGATTTTTAAACAAAGCATAAACAAACCGGTCTTTTCTGGCCGTGATTTTGGGGATGTCACATGATAGTTGCACTTGTTGCACCTAGGGAGGGTACCAGCATACCTACTGGTAGGTGTTTGAGCTGTAGAAGCGGCGGCAGCAACAGTAACGGGGGTAGTAGCAGCGTGGACTGCCACAGTTTGCTGCTTCTTAGAGGATCCTTGTGAACTCTGACTCTTCCTTTTGCTCCAGGATTTCTTCTTATTTTCACCGCTCCCGTTAGTCGGATCATAAGCGTTGGCCACTTCCTCGAGATCGTCAACATGGTCAATTAGGATTTGCACTAGGCATTTGGCGCTATCGTAGGTGTCTGGCTTCGCAGCCAAATAACATTTCCTTTGGTTAGCTAGGTCAGCCCCCAGATGAATCTCTCAATCTTTTTGCTTTCTGGGGTAACCATTCCCGAACAAAGAAGCGCTAAGTCATCAAATCTGGAAGTGTAAGCGGTGATATCGGAACCCTTCATCTTTAGGTTCCATAGTTCATGCTTCAGCTTCTGCATTTCGGTCTGGGGGCAGTATTCAGCAAGTAGAAGCTCTTTCATGTTCTCCCAACCCATAGCATTGGCTACATGTAGGTTTAAGGATTTGACTCGGCCATTCCACCAAGTCAAGGCTTTATCGGTGAAAGTGCAGGCGGCGAACTTCACCTTGTCAGTTTCTGAACAGGCACAAATTTCGAAAATAGATTCGATTTTCTCAAACCATCGAGTTAGAGCAATAACACCTCCAGTGCCATTGAAGGGTGTGGGTTTCGCGTTCATAAAGTCTTTGTAGGAACATTCTTTTCGGTGTCCCTGACTACCTTCTTGGTTTTGAGGCTGAGTACCACCTCCTAGCCTACCTGAACCACCGAGGTTCATTTGTGACATAGCAGCAGTAACAGCTGCTTTGAACATGGCGGGATCAAATGGAGAGGGAGGTGGTAGTGGAGGAGGATTGTTGTTCTTTGAGTTGGGTCTTTTCCTTGGAGGCATCTTAATCTAAAATGGCCAGGAAAAAGAGGATAGTAAGTCCTCTGAATTGAATCAAGAGATGTGGAACAAGAGAAATCTCATTATAGCAGAAAAAGTGTTCTACTATGCGATAATATATAGGAAAGCTACCAAAGCAGCGAAATTTATCGCTAAAGGAAATGAGTAGCAACACTTGAATGAGGATTTCTATGATAAAGTTAGCTCTAGAAAATACTCCCATAGTATTTTGTGTTTCGTTGAGACGGTGACTCATTGTTTGGATATTAGGTAAGTTTTAGGCTTGCTGCACACCACAGTCACTCCCAAGCACATGTTGGTCGTGTCTCGAATGAATATAGTTGATCAGGCTATATTGATCCTAGACACGACTACATAACTGCCCAGGTTTAACCGCAGTGTACAACACCCAATTACTTATGTTTTGTTCTACTCGTGGTTACGGTTTCTGGCGTTTAGGTATTCTCGTATACTTGGAGTAAAAATACTTATATTTTTAAAGTACACTTTTAGTTCAGAGCACTTCGTCCCCTTAGTGTTTATAGTTATAAACCATGTAAGGTTCGGTATACTTAGTTCACTATAAACAAGGGCTCTGATACCAATCTGTCACACCCCGAAACCAATGGCGGAAACGTTCTGGGGCGGAGGACATCATGTAAAGTATCACAACCAATGTACATAGCAAGCATAGTAAACACAACCATTACATTACATAGGAATATTTACATTTGTTTGAAAGCGAAGTAATACATGTTTTATATATACATCGGTATAACAAAAGTAAAGACAAGACTGCTAATATTAGGGGTGTTGATCGGGTAAAATTTTTGGGTTTCGGGTAATTCGGGTCGGGTAATTCGGGTTTTTCATGTTAAGAAAAATACCCGTTACCCAACCCAAAATAAATTCGGGTAATTCGGGTTTGGGTAATTCGGGTAGTGGGTCGGGTATGGGTAATTCGGGTATTACCCTTTTTTTTTTTTTTTTTTTAATAAATTTTAAATGGCATCTAAAAAGAAATATGTCGTGTTGAAACTTTGAACATTGATGTTTTTTAGTCAATAATACTTGAAATATCAAGGCTTAACAATTTTAATCTAATCTAATAAGATGTTAAAAAAATAAATTCTTAAAAATCTTAGTTTAAATGTTGAATCTCATAATAGAATAAAAAAAGAGTTTAATATATAGACTAGATTTATTACTCGTTGTTTTAGATGGAAGATTTGTAAATTAAAACACTATAAATAAGCCAAAACCGAACGATAAATAAAAGTATACATGAACGCATTTTGATGAAATAATAACAACCAAAGTCAACCATTTAAATTACTTGATAACATCATAACAATGTATATGCATGTATTTTGCATTTACCAAAAAACTCATAAGTCTTAAATCTACAAAACATAGAAAACCATTACATATTATGAAAATAATAACATGTCAAGTTCCAAAAGACATTCAAAAATATACTCGTTCTTCTTGCACCTTCACTACACCATCTTGCTCAAATCTATATAAAAAACATTAAATAATGTTAGTATTAAAAGGAAAAGATATTAAATTTACAATCATTAAGATAATAAACAATTACCTTTGTCAATTTGTTGATTTTCTTCCCAATCTTTTTCATAATCGATTGTGTCACTTATGCTACCCCGAATCCAATCTTGTGTACAAATTAAACTTTCAACAATCTTAGGAGTCAAAGAACTCCTAAACGGATCCAAAACCCTTCCACTAGTGCTAAAAACGGATTCTGAAGCCACCGTTGAGACGGGAATGGCGAACACATCTCTTGCCATCAATGATAGAATTGGAAATCTTGGACTATTCACTTTCCACCAATCTAGAATATTAAACATTTCCAAGTCGTCTTCAACACTTTCTTGAAAATACTTTTCTAACTCCCCAATTGATTCAACTATGTTCGTCTTCATCTTTTCTCTTAGTTTATTTCTCAATGGGGGGTTAGGTGCCATAAAATCCGGGTTTTGGCGTTTCCCTAATATCGATGATGAAGTGGTAGACTCGGCAGTACTTGAAGTAGAAATTGGAGAATGAATTCTAATATAATCATTATATAATTCATACATAGAATCCATGATATATTTCTTTTTGGCCTCGACCCCATTTTCTCCATAACGATCCTCAAGTAGTATAACCAAATACTTTACTTTGTTCCTTGGATCAAGAATCAATGCAAAGTAGAGCAATAAATTCATTTTTTCTACATCGCCAAAATACTTATCAAACTTTTTTTTCATGGCCAATGCAATATCACAAAGAGTGGAATCAGAAATAGCATCATCCAAGAGCGTACGAATGGAATATATATCTTCAATGCACGTGTTTGATGTCACATAAAGTGTCCCGGAAATCCTCAAAGTAACATCATGAAAAGGTTTTAAAAAATGACATATATTCCTAACCCTTTCCCAATCGCTTGATGAAGGTATCGACAAACCGGCCTTTTCAATTTCGTACCGAAAATCAAATTCCTCAAGATCATATCTTTCAAAAGTTTTTTCGTAACCTTGTGCAATTTCCAACATATGGTAAGTAGAGTTCCATCTTGTTGGCACATCTCTCTTCAAGTGTTTTGTTATACCGGGATTAGCAACCTTAGCAAAATCGGTAAACTTATGAATTCTAGAAGGCGATTGCCTAATCCATTTAACCGCCCATCGAACTATCTCAACCGCCTTATCAACTTTTTTTAAGCCATCTTGCACCACTAAATTTAAAATGTGGGCAACACATCGAATATGCATCCATTTCCCATTTAGAAGACACGTGTTGGAGTTTTGAAAACTTTTTTTCAAGAAGTCAATTGCCACATCATTCGCACTTGCATTGTCAACAGAAATTGTGAAAATATTTTCTATTTCCCACTCCATTAAACATTTCTCAACCATTTTTCCAATATCAACCCCACGGTGACTCTCTTGAGAAGAAAAACACAAAACTTTTTTTTCAACTTCCATTCGTTATCAATAAAGTGGGCGGTGAGACACATATAACATGATTGTTGTTTAGAAGTCCACGTATCGGTGGTCAAACATATTCTACCAACGTTTTTTTTAATAAAGTCACGAATTTTTTCTTTTTCGTCTACAAACAATTGGTAGACATCCGTTGTGCTTGTACTTCGACATGGAACTTTAAACAATGGTTGATTAACACTATTGTAATACCTAAAACCCGCACCTTCTACAAAGCTAAAAGGAAGTTCATCAACTACCAACATGTGGGCTAGAGCCTTACGACTCTCATTTTGATCAAATTTCCAAGTTGACAATTTGTTTTCATCACCATATTGAAAAGTTAGTTGTTTTTGCCCACCACTAAGTTTATCCAAGTAAGCTTTACATTTCGTTAAATGATAACCTAGATTTTTTGTCCCATAACCACTTGATTCGCACTTGTAATTCCCACCACCACAATGCTTGCATTTACATCTTTGTACACCATTTTCATCCTTATACCTTTCAAATTCTTTCCAAACTTTCGATCGTGGGTTGAATTCTTTAGCTTTTTTCTGTTTTTCTTGTGGAACTTGATCATTGGTTGGGTTTTCAACTTCAATGGTCTCATCTTCCACTTCAATATAGTCATCCGTATTTGACATCTAAAAAAAAAAAAAAAAAAAAAAACTGTTAAAAAACATAAAAATGGACCATACTATCCTTACCTTTGACAACAAACTGTAAATAAGAATAGAAACATGACAAACTAGCTAGTGTTCCGGGATTGTGTCTATGCGATAATAACATGACAAACTATGAATTATAAAACAACAAAGCATAATTATATAACAGGCATTTATAAAACAATATGGCATGACAATCACTAATTAATTACCAATGAGTTAAAACACTAATTAACAATAAAGTCGAATGAGAATCTACAATAACAAATAATAGAAACAAACTGTAAATAACTTTTGACAGCAAACTGTAAATACGAATAGAAACAAACTGTAAATAAGAATAGAAGCAAACTGTAAATAATCATTTCTAGAATAACAAATACCTTAGCTCTCTGTTAGTCAGTTAGTGTATATTATGACTTGCTCTCTGTTTGGTGGATAAATTTCAAGAGTTTATATCCAACTATTTACAAGTATAATAGATTAAGATGATAAACAAGTATGACAGATTAAGAAGATAAGGGAAATGAGTAATCATCATCTGGCACTTTAATATCATCCAAATTGAGAAAAACAGTAGCAATTATCCAATGATAATATATGAAAATTTGCAAAACATGTATTGTATACATAGAAAAATGTATAGACAAAACAGGGGAAAATTAGCAAAATGTATAGACAGAAAGACGACTAGCTAAAGCCAAGTACTGTATCGGAAGTGCACCTGAATACCCAATGACCCGGCGAGGCGGCGACCGACTGATGAGCGGCGAGGAGGCGGCGACGGCTACCTGAAGCTGATTGACCGGTGACGAACGATGACGAGTGGACTGCGAAGTGAGAACAAGGGTTTTCTTTTGACGAAGAGAAAATAGAACGAGGCCACTTGAATTTGGGACTAAGACTAATTGGGACGGATAAGGGGATTATGTTTTGGCCCGTTATTATTAAAGAAATTTCGGGTAATCGGGTATACCCGAATCCCAACAACCTTACCCTTTACCCGACCTGAAAAAAAAATCGGGTTACCCAAATACCCGAAATAATTAACCCGATACCCGAATTACCCAACCCGATTTACCCGATACCCGAAAAAATCGAGCGGGTAATTCGGGTAACGGGTATTTTTGACAGGGCTAGCTAATATGCTCTGTCTTCTCCAAAAGATTTATGAGATACCTGTCCAACATTGACCTGAGAATACAAGCAGTTTTAAAAATATCAGCATAAAGCTGGTGAGTTCATAAGCGGTTGGTTTTGTAAAAGAACAAGTTTCTTTTGGTTTTCTGAAAAAGTTGTTATCTAAGAAAATCCCATATTTTCTTATAAGAAAAGTTTAGTTATCCATTTTTTACACAATCTGGTTAAGAACAGTTAAGTTATCCCAGGAAAAACCCTTATTTTCCTTAGAACTTGGTGGTTGGTTATCGATTCGGAATGCAGTGTACAAGTATCTACCATACTTGTAGCGTTTAAATGAAATATCCTGAAAGCCTAGTTATCCTTGAAAAGTACGTTAGTTTTAACACGTATATAAAACTAATAAGTAGGCAATAAAAGTTTCCATAATCTAAGTTGCAAGTTCCATAACCATACAATAAACTAGATAAGGCTCATAACTGGGCCAGTATCGTTTTATGACTTTTGTCACCTGTGGACCAGTCGGTCCTACTGTAGCTAGCAGCCAGGTGCGGGATAGTCAATCCCGTATAGATCTATACACTCAAGTCACGTTCTCCCTCCAGGAGATTCTGGTTATGGGGGTAGTCCTACACTCTCGTATCCAGGGGAGTGTTACCAAGGACATGTCTCCAATCTTAAGATTAATGAAATTTTAAAAGAAATCATATGGAAATCCTAGTTTATTGGTTCTTCACTCTCGTATCCAGGGGGAGTGTTACCAAGGACATGTTTCCAGTTTTTAAGATTAATGATATTGGTCCTTCACTCTCGTATCTAGGGGGAGTGTTACCAAGGACATGTTTCCAGTTTTAAGATTAATGTTATTGGTCCTTCACTCTCGTATCTAGGGGGAGTGTTACCAAGGACGTATCAAAGTTCTAAGGTTAATGCTTTTAACAGTAATGGTGTGGAAAATCATTTTTGAAATATAAAATATAACATTTTATAATGAGTTTCACAATTAATATGAAAACTAACTCTGCAAGTTAAACGATTGGTTAATACGCTTTTCAGTGTTAAAAGCATATGGAATATGAAACATTTCATAAGAAATAATAAGTTTGAGTACAAGATTTCCTTGTACTTTTGCTTGTATTCCCCCACCTGAAAACATGAAAAACACGGAAAAAGGTGTAGCGGTATGAACTTACCGGACGAGAAATGTGACGGTTAGGGTGTTAAGTGTCAGTTTAGGGCTTGAACACGCACGAGGTTCCTATTTAATATGAAGAGATACATAATTGTATCTAATTAGACTTTGAACTACTAATTAAGTAAGATAATACACTCTGAGGCGCGAAAACACTTTATCTCAAGCGTTAGGAGTGATCCGGGTTGCATCTAAGGAGGTGTAAGGACTAAATATGGAGTTTGATCTTCAAGAGTAAACTCCTAGGGGAGATTACGGCCCATAGACCATATCCCCATGCGTTTACGGCCGTAAACTCATTGATGGTGTGTTCTTGGATGTTTAAAGCTCTTACAACACTTGTGGAATTAGGGTAGCTTCAATTATAGGGCATAGGAAGTGATTAAATCATCAAATGGACCATTTTGGGGAGTTTATAGCTGTAAACATAGATTTTACGGCCGTAAACTCTTACTTTCCCTTTGCTTTTGTGTTTTTAAGGTCCTAGGTTAAGCACATATGATTCTAGTCCAATATACAAGCCATGGAAGGAAGTTAGGGAACCATTTGACCTCTTTAGAGGAGTTTATGGCTAGAGGACCCTTCCCTTGGGGGTTTACGACCGTAATCCCTTATGGTCATTGTTTCCTTGATGTTTAAGGTCCCTACTTCGATGGTGGTTGATTCTAGGCATTATTCCAAGCCATAGGAGGTGTTTAAGGGGCAATTTAACACCTTAAATGGTGTTTACGGCCTATGAAGGAGGGTTTACGGTCCAAGAATGATCTTGGGTAGTAAACTCATGTTTACTCCCCAAATAACAAGTTTTTGGTATTCTAAGCTCGTACATGTAAGTCCCTAAGTCATAGCTAAGCACCAGAAGTGATTTGGAAGGGTTTTGGGGCTTTAAAACCCCATTTATGGGTGTTTGCGGTTTGGGGTTGTTCCTGGGCTGTAAACACAAGTTTTTGGTACTTTTGGATGATTTAAACATGAATTTGTATGCTAAAAAAGCTAAACTATAAGCTAGGATAGATCACTTACCAATTTGGAGCTTGAAAGGGGTGGTTTTGGATCAAATTTGGCTTGTAGAGCGAGAGTAGTAAGAGAGAGTGAAAAAGCTTCAAATGAAGTCCACTCACCCTTATATAGGGTTTTGAGTTTGTGGCCCGGTGGAAATCTACCCGATACCGACGTTAAACGGAGCTTATGGTCGTACCCGATTAAGTTGTCGTAACTAAAAATCTTCCAAATGAATATTGAGGGTGTTTTCATGTGTTTCTAATGTGTTTGGACATTCATAAAGTCATAATAAAAGTCTTAATTCAATTACCCTGATTCAAAATGTTAATGGAAAAAAAATGGAATATAAACAGGTTTTATTAACGGAAACGCATTACAGTGACGGAATAAATTTCAGGTTGTCACACTTTAAGACTGAAAGAAAATATTAGTTGTTGTTTGTTATCATATGTTTAACGAACAAACATATCACCGTTTGGACCTAAACTGTGAAATGGTCAAGGTTCTAGAATCTGATCAGGACAATTAGGTGTGAGAGGCATACCGTAAAAGATGTCTGAAACTTTTTTTTTCGTGTGTGAACTCATCTTCTGACCAGCCTTCCAAACTCATATAAATTTGATTATTCATCATCTGACAAAGTTTTGTCACCCAATCTTCCAAACTCATATAAATTTTCTTCTTCCACCGTTTTTATTGCCATAGTTTCTTCTCGTGAACACTCTTTAGCATTATCTGATATAATGTTGTCAACATTGTATGATACAATCTTGTCAACCACATTTGTCTGTTCAACACATCCCTCAAATACCTCCAAATACAAATTCACAATTTCCTTCATTTCAGACATTACGTTTCTGAATTGATGAATATCTGCTTCGTCTACAATATTCATAACATACCCATGAACCGGGTGTTGAAATGACAATAATATAGTATTATTGAAAGTATTAGCATTAGTTTTAACCATATCAAACAACATTTGACGGTCAAAATTAGGCGGAAGTAAGTTTTTAAACTTTGGTTTAACGCAGGTATTAATTCCATTACTCAACAACCAAAACCCCACCATACATAAAATACCAAAACTCATATTTTATTTGAAAAATTCACCCTAATAGAATAAAAAAAATCCTTTATAGCACCAAAAATTGTTGCTAATAACCTTATAACCAATCATTCCGTGGAGATGTTACATCCGTGGAGCCCTCGTCACAGGCTATGCGGAGGATTTGATGAACGGCAGAACCAACACTCTGTGGAAGGTTTAATATGTCCGCGGAGGTAGCTCTGTGGAGCCCTCTGTGGCCCGTACAATATCGTACAAAATTTAGGATTCTGTGGTGATTTTATGATTCCGCGGAGCCTGTAAAGGGGAGCTCCACAGAACGTACGTCTATAGTCGAATTGTTTGAATCCCCCCCCCCCCCCCGCCCCCCAAAAAAATGTCTATAATTGGTATTTTCCTATGAACTAATAGTGAAAGGAATGGAATAAAACATTTAAATGAAATAAAACAAAAAACATTTGGTTGGAAATGAAAGGCTTTATCACTAAGGAATCATATTCCTTCAAAACATGATATGTTTCATTCTTTGTCCAATGTTGTTTTTTATAATGACAATGAAGCTCTACAAACCTAAATGTTATGGTTTAAAGGCTCCATTATGTTTTTTGGTTAAGTAGGGGCATAAAGTCAATTTTCACATGTTAGTTTGGCCAATCTACCTAGTATAACCGGTTTCATAGCCATGTGTGCAAGTTTCATCCGATTTGGAAAGATTTAATAATTACACAATGTACAAATTGTATTGCCATGTGTACAAGTAATAGCTGACATAACATGTTTATTATGAAGATTTTGGAGACCAAGCTTTGTAAGATAAGTTGTCGTCCTCGTATAACAATGTGGGAACCTTATAACAACAAGGGAACCTTATATCATCTTTCTTTACTAGATAAACAGATAGATTCTAAGAATTTCTCCTTTAAACGGGTTAGCGTAAATGACCTTGTTCCCCCATTGTGTGAGTGTGATCTTATTTTTTTGGAAATGCATAATGAACTGTTGCAATTCAAGGAGGAATTATAGAATGGGATGAAGTTTGTGAGGGATAACTTTCAAGACCTTAAGTTTGAAATGCTTACGATTAAGAGGAAGATCCATTCATACAAGGTTTCATTCTTCATTTGTGTGCCAGATGGCGATAGTAATGTTAAAACACCATTGAAGTGTACTATCTTGTTAATATTAGGTATGTATATGCATGATTAGATTAGGAAGAGTGTAGCCTATGTTGGAAGTATGTATACAATCAAAATAGTTGGGTAGTATTACTATTAATAGCAAGTCCCTTTTAGGTTACACACAATAACATATTCAAACAATAATTGACAAGAGTGAAATTATGAGGATCTAGTTTGATAATTTATTAGTGATTAATAAATTAATATAAACATGTAGATCTCAGGGAGTTTAAAGTAAGATTTGAAATTCAAATCTTAGGTATAATTACAAGTAATTATCCAAGTGGGAAATTTATCATTCCCTGATAAGTAGAGGTACCTAGAACCGGCCATAAGTTTACACAACTCATCCATTTGGTTTTAATTACAGGTCATAACTTCTTCGTTATAACTCGGATTTCGGCGCTCTTTATATGTATGGAACCCTTGTGACATATACTATAACTTGGTTAAGATTACTTATTCTAAATAATATTTTATTAAAAAGTCTTTATTGATACTTATTGTCTCTAAATTGACTAGCCCGAATCTGCAGGCGTTACAATTATATCCCCCTTAGGATGATTACGTCCCGGAATCATCAAAAAAATAGGGCTTGTATAATGACTCCATACACTATCTCCTCATCCTAGGTAATAATCGTAACTTCTATATTCCTTCGAATCAGTATCTATCTCTTAGACTTATTGACTACAAGTAGTACTCGATCGTGCACCCATTCTCTATCTCATATTAGTTTTCCAATCTTGACCTTCGAATCACATTATCGATTCCTTATTGGATACACCTTCTTCTTAACAAACTCAAAATAAGATCTTTGATTACCACAATGGACCGATGAGTCACATTCTATGACCTCTCATCGTATGATGCAATACTTAGACTCAGGTCTTTTAGAGTCAAGTTCCAGAATAGACTATACATTCCTTCACGTTCTAATGTGAAATAATCACATTCTAGCATATAACACTTCTAGCTACAATCTTCTTACTTTAATAACAATCTTGTTACTTCTACAAATCACTTTGTTTATCCTTTATTTCAACCTTTTATCTTAAGTCAGACGCGACATCGAACTTGGTTCTTTGAACCATTCAACATACTCATCTTAGTCGGACTCGCTTTGGTATGACCACTTGGGTCGGAACAACAATCATCTTTTTCGTCATTATCAAAACGATGGTAACGACATACATGAACAAAATAGAATCACTTACTAGCTTCTTGGTAACTTTGTGACTTTCCTTGATCCAAGTGTGAGTCCTATGCTTCCGGTAGTATAAGCCTCTACTACCATTCACACCTACTCATACTCGTCCAAGTATTGTCTTGCAATTTTCCAAGTTATTATTAGAAAAACAATTTTAACACATACAAATGTGTCCAAACAATCATATAAATTTCCCTAGACTCTACTAGGACTTCTTCCATGCGTATCTTCAATCATTAATTCTGCTTCAACTCGGTTGGTGATGGAAATGTCAGACAATGGGATAACTTAATGGATTATACCAAAAATTCTTTCTTTCTGCCAATTGAAAGTGTACTTCTCCCGAACTAGAGGTATTACCTATTTAGATGCATTCTAAAGGCAAGATATCACTCTTACGATATCTTCTGATAGGTACCATTTAGTATCGTAAGCCTTCTCATTTCCTCCATTTACTCAATTCACTACGAGTCTTCACCATGATGTTTTACACACCAAAGTAGTCGTTTGGTGTATCGAGATGAGAATATAGATAGAGGAAGGTTTAGACGCATATACCTCCTTATTACTTCGAAAAATTACATGTCAGTTCTAATATCGTAATTAAACGTTTAGAAATTTGAACACATAAAGTTTCCAGATCCGGTCAGCAACAGACCATACATCCGATCAAATGATAGCATCATAAAGCATTGTAAATCATTTAGCACGTAAAAGCAATTTAGGCATCTTCCCTAAATGAGCTAGTGCTCGTGTCTATTCAAGTGTACTTCTTAAAATATATTAGACACACTCCTCACAATCCTCGTTTAGCATTCTAAGTTTAAGTTTAGAAATAAATCCTTATTCCTAGATCGCTTAAACTAATGTTCTGATACCAACTGTGACATCCCCAAATTCACAGTCATTTTAAAATTTTTATTTATGCTTATTCAAAAATAAGAGTATTCGTTTTAAAGAATAATATTGTGGAATTTGTTCCCAGAAAAAACATGATAATAATATTATCAAAACATTTTCGAAGAAATGTATTTTTTTTTTTATATTAATACTGTGGGATGTCATCGTCAATACAGAAACATAAGCATAAACATAGCTTACATTCATTTACACTAATGATCAACGTCTCCTTAATCTCTAAGTGTAATTTAGCTTCGTACCAATATCTGTGATACAAATAAACTGAGTGGATCAGCTTGGAAAACCTGGTAAGTACATAGGGATATCAATCCCACAATGTTATACTATATATATATATATATATATATACACACACACATAATTTAGAACTCATGATATATACAATTTCACATCATATAAGCAATTTCATTCCACCCCAACGATCCTCACAACGATACAATCTATACTCTCGGATCTAAAAATTACCATATTTCCTAATCCATACTCCTGGATCTGAAATTAACCTCTTTACCTAATCCATACTCCTAGATCTAAAATTAACCTCTTTACCTGATCCATACTCCCGGATCTAAAATTAACATTTTTACCTGATCCATACTTCTAGATCTAAAAATAAACTTTTTACCTGATCCATACTCCCGGATCTGATAATAACCTCCTTAGCTAATCCATACTCCTGGATTGGGTATGTCTGATCCATACTCCCGGATCAATAATTATGCCCATTATGTACTCTCGGACTAGGAACCATTGACTACGTCTAATCAATGCTCTCGGATCAATGACAAATTTAAACTTCGACTCTTTGTGTATATCTCACTCGTTATCATAAAGGAATACTACCCAATATTCTTCTTAATTAATTTAGGTTTACTCTGTATCCTAAATTATCGTATATTATCATATATGCTATTAACACATATTTTAGGCAATATCAAATATTTTACACACCAACAAACATTTAATGCATTATTCAATACTTGTATTAAAATCATGTTCATGAAAGGGACTATGCACTCACTTGTTAATGTGGTGATTTCGAACTTAGACAACGCCTCACTTCTATTAATTTATTTTCCTTCGATGAAAGCTAGTATCATTACCACTAGATTTTAGTCTAATATTCATTACGACTAATTATTAGTCTAGATTTATCATTAACTCAGATTCTACTTCATGATCTATCAAGTAATGATCAACTAGGAAGGACAGTTGGGAGGCAGGACCATTTCGACATATAGCTATTCTGAAATCCAACAACCAAACCCAATGTAACCATTCTAGACACCTCTCCGCTAGTAGTTTAATAAGTATAACAACTTTGAATCACTGATAAAGTTTATTTATAGGTTCATAATAATGATATTATATTTATATATAAGTTGTATTTAAAGTATCGTAGGCGTATCTCACTTACAACGTGTTTTTATTAAAAACTGGGATTCGGTGAAGCGAATTTTTTAAGCCGAAAGCTCTTCGTCTTGGAGCCGTCTGGCGCTCGGGGGCTTCCTTCTCGG